TCAAATCTGATGTAATGGTGGGGACGATCTTGAACATGTTCACAGACTGCAGACTTCCCGGAGCGTCGGTGCTTCACGTCAGCTATATGTTCTTTCACGCGGATTTTTATGGATCTTTTTGTTTGACCTATGTAAGAGAGACCACATTCACAATCTAACTTGTACACTCCTGCATCTTGTAGAGGGATATTACACTTGACGGATGGTAAAAATTGACTAATTTTCTTCGGCGGCTTGTAGTATGTTTTAATGGAAGCTCGCTTCAAGATTTCGCCAACCTTGTCTGTGACTCCTCTGACATATGGTAGTACAGCAGGCACACGCTCGACTGTGGCCGGCTTCACTCGGTCACTGTGACGTAGGCGCGGGATCCGAAGCTTGTTGTCTTGCAACACTTGCTTGACATGCTGCAGCTCGGCGGCCAGATGTTTTCTGTCACAGATCCCTCGTGCTCTCTGAAACAAAGATCTCTTCTGCCCACGGTAGCTAACTGTGAAGGATGATGGTGAGATTCACCATTTAAATATCGGTTGGTATGGGTCTTTTTCTATACACAGTGTGACCAATAGTGTTATCAGGATTTCGAATGACTAAAACATCTAGGAAAGCTAAAGAATTATTTGCCTCTAACTCCATTGTGAATTGTATTTTAGAGTTTATAGAGTTAAGGTGGTTTAAAAATGCAGTTACTTTGTCAGATGGTAAAATTGTGAAGGTGTCGTCTACGTACCACTTGTAGAATCTTGGATTTACAGGAGCAGTAAGAAGGGCATTCTCCTCGAAGTCCTCCATAAATATGTCGGCGACTATGGGAGATACAGGTAAGACCATCGCCACACCATATACTTGCTTGTAGAACTCCACAATAGATAGCCAGATATGACGCAATGTTTGAGTAATACTGCATATTCAGCAGGCAAGTTGATATCCTTTAGCTTCCTAGTTACAATTGAGATGCAGTCTTCAATAGGTAGGCATGTGAATAGTGACTGAACATCAAAACTGACCATAGTTTCATTGTCAGCGAGATGTAGGTCTTTTATCTCACTAACAAAATGGTATGAATCCTTTGTGTGTGCTCTGGTATGTCCACTCAGTGGTGACAGTATTTTTGCCAAGTGTTGTGCTAGCTTATAAGTTGGTGAATCGATCTGGCTCACTATAGGACGTAGTGGAGCGTTTGGTTTGTGTATCTTCGATAATCCATACAACCTTGGTGGTTTGGTACAGGGGGCGTCGAGATTTAATTTTTCGGAGTATTTCTTTATTAAATCGCTAGTTGCTTTAAGCGTGTTAGTTGTGGGGTCTGTTTTGACTTTTTTATATGTACTTTTGTCCGATAAAAGCTGTAGTATTTTAAAACTATACTCTGACGTGTCCATTATTACCGTAGCGTTTCCTTTATCCGCGCGGAGAATCGTTAGCTCTGGGCTGGTCCGTAAGTTAATCAACGCTGTAAATTCGTCTTTAGGAAGGTTTCGGCACTGCACTACGACGTAACAAGGACGAAATATTGATTAAAACTACTTTTACGGATTTTATCGCGTTTATATTATATACGGATTTTATAGCGGTGAGCTGAAGGTAGGGAAATTTGGAGTAGGGCAACATAACCGAAGGAGCCAGCAGCTGGTCGACTTTATGGAGATGATGAACTCTTTCTTCCAGAAGCGGCCCTACAGGAAGTGGACCTGGTTGAGCCCCGACGGTTCGACAAAAAATGAGATTGACTTCATTATGACGACCAGACGCCATCTGTTCAGTGATGTCTCAGTGATCGCAAGGGTGAAAACTGGCAGCGATCACCGAACGGTTAGAGGCACGCTGAACCTAAACGTTAAGTTGGAGAGGTCTCGTCTAATGAAGTCAACACTCCGTCCCCCTCGTGCTCTAATTCAGAATCCCGAAACCTTTCAGCTCGAGTTACTTAACCGCTTTCAGTGCCTAGAAGATTGCAATGCAGTGGACGATATGAATGACAAGCTCGTGGAACTGTATATGCGGTCGGAGCTAAGTTCTGCAAGACCCGCCGCAGAAGAACACAAAACCTCGCCGATCACACTCTTAATCTGGCTGTTAAAAAAAATGGCTGTTAGACGGGAGATGAGGCTGCAGTCGTCAACAGATTTGACAGCATACAGGCAACTGAACAGACAGATCTCCAAATGCATGCGGTGAGACTTACGCAACTTTAATACTGCTCGTATTAAAGAAGCGATCGAGCGGAACCAAGGCTCCAAAGTCTTTGCCAGAGATCTGTCTTCCAGAAAGAGCCAACTGTTAAAGCTGAAGTCTGAGTGTGGCAACATCGTTTCCGGGACACCTGCGATTCTGAGTGAGATTGAGAGGTTCTATGGGCAGCTGTAAACATCGTTGTTCGAGCCACACGCAACTGTGAGTAACGATCCAAAAGCAAGTCTTATCCGACACTATTCCGATGATATCCCGGACGTGAGTTTGAGAGAGATTAGAATGGCTCTCCACCACCTTAAAAACGGCAAGGCCCTGGGAGAGGATGGAATTACAGCGGAGCTTCTGAAAGCGGGTGGAATACCGGTACTTGAAGTCCTTCAGAAGCTCTTCAATTCCGTTCTCCATGGTGGCACTACTCCGGAGGCGTGGAGTCGATGCGCGGTGGACTTGTTCTTCAAGAAAGGCGACAACGCTCTCTTGAAGAACTACAGACCGATTTCCCTCCTGAGCCGCGTTTACGTGCTGTTTTCGAGAGTCATTACGAATCTTCTCGCACGCAGACTCGACGACTTCCAGCCTCCCGAAGAAGCCGGTTTCCGAAAAGGCTTCAGTACCATAGACCACATATATACCCTGTGACAGATTGTACAGAAGACCGAAGAGTACAGTCTGCAACTTTGCCTGGCATTTGTGGACTATGAGAAAGCCTTTGATTCCGTCGAAATTTGGGCGGGGCTACAGTCCCTTCAGCGGTGCCAAGTTGACTGTCGGTAATATCGAAGTGCTGAAGTGTTTGTACAGTAGGGCTACGATGGCTATCAGAGTACAGAACCAGAGTTTGATACCTATTCAACTGCAGATAGATGTAAGACAGGGTGATGTTGTATCCCCGAAACTCTTCACCGCTGCGTTGGAAGACGTTTTCAAGCTGCTGGACTGGAAAGGATACGGTATTAACATCAATGGCGAGTACATCACTCACCTTCGATTTGCCGACAATATAGTCCTCATGGCAGAATCGCGGAGAGGACCTTAGCAGTGTGCTCAATGACCTCAATGGTGTCTTCCAATGGATAGGTCTTAAGATGAACATGGACAAAACAAAGATCATATTTAATGCCCATGTCACACCTATGCCGGTAGTTGTTGGGAGCATATAGTTGTGATCGGGGATAAATAGTCCGACTAGGTAAGTCCAGCTACGACCGAGAGGTCTGTCGACGGATTCAACTCGGCTGGGCAGCGTTACGGAAATTACGACACATCTTCTCGTCAGGTATACCTCAATCTCTGAAAACTAAAGTGTATAACCAGTGCGTGTTGCCAGTGATGACTTACGGATCTGAGACGTGGTCCTTCACTGCTGGCCGTATAAGGACGCTCAAGGTCGCTTAGCGAGCTATGGAGAGGGCTATGCTCGGAGTTTCTCTGCGTGATAGACTCAGAAATGAGGATATCCGCAGTAAAACCAGAGTGACCAACATAGCCCAACGGATTAGTAAGCTGAAGTGGCAATGAGCCGGCCATATAGCTCGAAGAACCGATAACCGATGGCGAAGAAAGTTTCTCAAGTGGCAGCCTCGTACCGGTAGGCGTAGTGTAGGGTGACAAGATGGAGTGACGACCTGGTAAGACATGCAGGAAGTCGATGGATGCAGATGGTTCAGGACCGTGCTTTGTGGCATTACTTGGGGGAGGCCTATGTTCAGCAGTGGACTTGTGAAGGGCTGTAATGATGATGATGATGAAGTTACATATCATTTATTTATACTTAATGGTGTCAATTGTTTGATTATTGAATACTGGTGGGCAAAATATGTTGTTATTTTGGTTATTTAATTTTTTTTAATAAGTTTAAGATAAATATTGTTTGTTTCATTAATCATTGTTAAAAAAACTAAAACTAAAATTAAACTAAAATTATTCTAAAAATTGAGTTATTTTTCAGCACAGAAACGATTATTTGCAATTTAAATAAAAAAATAACATCACATTTTGTTTAAATTTTGATTTTCTATTAGAATAACATTTTGATCATGTTTTTATTATATATTTTGGTTAATAAATAAAAAATATTATAAAAATCCTTTTATTTCACTACTGTTCACTCGGTATTACTTAAGTAGATCCTTGAATTTTTGTACCTTTTACCCCCTTGGGCTCTGATTTAATTGACTTGTACTACTCATTGCTGATCGAGGTTAATCCTTTCCTATACATTTAACTTTACCATAACCAATTTTTCGAGGCTGTAAAGTACTTCAGTTCAATTTTTGTAAGCTGTAAAGGACTCTCATTTTCGTCTGTAATTAAGTTTGGTCAATATTGTTAATTTATGGGGACTTACTTTGTTTGAAAAAGTTATTATACAAAATCAAATTTTATTTTTTGTTTTTTGGCTCTACTGAAAACTCGTGTTTTGTTCTTTACGACAATTGAAATGTCTGGTATCGATATGTTCCTAATAGTCGGTGCACAGTAACCATTGATAGCATATGCAAATGATAGGAAAAGTTATCAGGGCAAATAGGAGACAAAAAAAAAACAACAAAATTAAACAATTAAACCCAAAGTTACACATGTTATATTTTATATTTAAAAATAACACAAGATCAAAATTGCAGAGCTAAAATTATTACTGAGCAATTTTACAGTCAATACGTATGCTTCAAAATAAGTAGTATAACTTATAGGAGAAGGAAGTTATAAGAGAAGATAGTTGAATGATCTAAATTTATTTACGTAATTCTCTTTATATTCATTAACTTTACACACATATTTATACATTTACATTTTAGTGTTTTTTTTTACCAGTGAGCTAAAGGAGCTCCGTGTCCCCACGCTCCCCATCCTAACGAGGCCAGAGGTGCTCGCCAACCAACATGTCCGGTAGCAGGAATGGCGAGAGGTGTAGGCGCTACCCAACGAGTAGTTGGTATGTCCAAACGAGCAGAGTGAGACCATGCTGTGGCTAAGGGAGCCGCCGCTAGAAGGGGAGCTGAACGCTTCTTCAATAGGTGAACACCACCGTGATCTAAAGCTCTCGCTGTCAAATGAGCTGAACGGTCCAGGTTTACGCTGAGAGTATCCAAGGGTCTGCCATCTGTAGCCAAAATGCTAGCTGGTTGTCCAGGCGCTAGCGATAGGGGTCCTCGGTAGTTGTAAGGACGGAGCGCTGGGGCTGCGATTGCCCAAGGAGCAGTAATTGGCCCATGAACTGCACCAACCCAAGGAGAGGCTAATCCAAGACCAGTAAGACTCCACGGAGCGATAGCACTGGGATTTGCGGCCGCTAGGGCTAGCACGGAAGACAACACCATCAGCTTAAACATTGTGGTCTGTGTTGCTATCAATTCAAAAAGGAACTGTTGCATATTCCCTGCGAATAATGCCTTTTATACTAGTTGTAAAAGTAAGTGCTATCCTAGATACCTGTTTGTCGTCATAAAATATTCTATAGGGCGTTGGCCAACGATCAATCTCGGTAAAGATATCAGAACCGCAGTCAGGCAGCGCTTAACTTCGGCCTTCTATTTGTCTTATCAAATTTAAATATTACTGAATGTATATAAATAAATACTAAAATCAAGTTTATGGAATACAGTATTGTTTCCCTGTTTACCTTGAACATGTAACAGGGCCGTTCACTTCATCAATTAAACGACGACTTCTAAATCTAAATACGGTATGTGTTAGTTTTGAGCTTTTCAGAGCATACGCGTATTAATATGAGTATTTCCTGCTCATTCACTAGCATATGCCATATGCATATGGTATTTTTTCACAATTTTTCTTACCTAAAAACAAACTCTTTAAACAAATCCCTATATTATCCCTAGTTTATTGCATATAAAATAAGTATAAGTTACTGATAGATATAGTTTACAGACATCCGTATTCATAAATATTATTGTTAGGTCTCATAAGCAACTCTTGAGGGATAACGTTATACGTTCATTATAATGAACGCACATTTAAAGCAGTTTGCTGGCTTCTTTACTGTATGCACATTGCAGTGCTCAGAGTAATAACCATCATACAGTGAATCCTAAAATAATAACAAAATTCTCGTTCTTTAACACTTTTTTACGTGGTACAAAATAAAATAACTGCTTTACTTTATCATATTTCTTTTGCAAGGTTGTTGGTCTTTTTTTATTCCATGACCAGACAGTAAATTAAGGTTTTCAAAAAGCCCAATCACTTAACGTTACTGACGGTATTTGACGCCCTAAGCTAAATGAATAACACATAATTAAATGTTAACAGTTCATAACAAAATTTCTTATAGCATATCTCCTAGAAATGTACGAGTATTAATCGATAACTTACTATCGCCACAAAAAAATCGAAGGCAGTTATATTATTAAAATGCAAATTGCGTTATTTCTTACCTATGTTTTCCTCACGTATGTAATATTGTGTCTTTACATATGAAATTAACGTTTTGTCGTACTGACCACTTGGATCTGAAATATCTCCTCTTTGGTTGAGAATTCCAAATTTAAATTTATAAATTCATTTAGCTGGTACTTTTAAGTTTTGAAAAAGTCATTTGTTGGTTTTTTCCTCATTATTTATTTTATTGGCGTCGCTTATTACCGCACAATGGAAAACGTGTAATATCGGTATATTTACGAGTACGAGTTCTACCGGCACGTGGCACCAGTGCTTGTTGAAACAGTTCGTAGGATTAATGATGTGTACGGTGCTGGTATCGAAAGCACAGTACGTTTTTAATTCCAACGTTTTCGTTCTGGAAATATCGACCTTCAGAACCAACCTGGTGGAAGGCCGGAGACCAAAGTGAAAAATGACGAATTAAAGGCTATTGTGGAAGCGAATCCGTCACAAAGTACTTCAGAGATAGCTGCAGGCTTCGAACTAAGTGATAAAACTGTATTAATCCACTTGAAGTAAATCGGGAAAATAAAAAAGTTGAATGAATTCTCATGAATTGAGTGAATCGAACTTGCAAACACTCGTCGACTGCTGTTTACTTTGCTCAACCGACACAAAAATGAAGGTATTTTAAATCAAATCATTATTTGTGATAAAAAGTGGATACTGTACGATAATCGGAAGTGCTCGTCACAATGGCTGAACCCTGGAGACCCAGCCAAATCCTGCCCTAAGCGAAAACTGACTCAGAAAAAGTTATTTGTGAATGTTTGGTGGACTACCACCGGTGTCGTTCACTACAGCTTTCTAAATATAGCCAAACGATTACGGCAGATATCTATTATCAGCAACTGTAAACCATGGAGGAAGAACTAGCTGCTAAACAACCGAGATTGGTCAATCCCTCTAGGCCACTGCTGCTTCATGACAACGCAAGACCACACACTGCACAACAAACAACCACTAAGATAGATGAGCTACAATTGGAATATCTGTGACATCCATCGTACTTCCTGGACCTTGTTCCAACAGATTACCATTTTTTCCGGAATCCGGACAACTTCTTGCAAGAAGAGAATTCAACTCCGAAGCGGCAGTCCAAACCGCCTTCAAAGAGTTTATTGATTTTCGCCCCCATGGTTTTTTTTTAGTAAAGGGATCAATGAACTACCTATGAGATGGCAAAATTGCATAGATAACAACGGTGCACACTTTGATTAATTAAACATATTTTACAAAAAAAATTGACTTTATATTCCTCCCGTATAAAACGCCAATTTCATATGTAAGGACCTATTATTTTATGTTTTACATGACCTATAATAGGTCAGTTAGGACTGACTTGATTAATAATGATTACTGGTGGAGCCACGTGTCTAAGGTTGCCGAAGTCTAATTCCCCGGTCGAACCTTAAACCTATTACGCGAGATATTAATCTAAGTGGACTGTATCTACAATATGCTTCTACACTTATATATGCGGTACAATGCACTCGCTCTTCCCAAAAAAAAAACGAACTATTATTTGCCAAATCGATGAAGGGAATCCTGCTTGATTAGGAAAACACAAAATTGGAGCGGGTTAAAACAATTATATCAAGCAGGCTATAATATTGGATATTGACTCACCGGGATGTTTCGTCAGGAGGATGTGTTTGTCGAGCACTATAACTGCGACTTCTGGAACCTCTTCTGGACAGACACTCTGGGGCCCCAGAGATACGTCGGGAGAGAATCGGTGTGGTTTCAACGGCGAGCGCGGCGGGAAGAGCAGTTCTTTAGGACACTATTATCCTAGGCGGTGTGGTTTCAACGGCGAGCGCGGCGGGAAGAGGGCGCGCGTCGGTCGCGCGTGCCCTTATATATCCTCGGTTTCCGATGATTACGTGATGTTCTAGAATCATCTTCTTTCCCCTCCCACCCCACCACCCCGATGTGTCGATAGGAGGGTATGAATGATATCGTTTTTTTGGAAAGGGATAACCGATTTGGCAGCCTACCGTCAAATAAAATAAATACGAATGGTTTTCCGCGCAACCATCTCCCTCGCCCTTGAAGGATCTCCTTCAAAAAATAACTAAAACAACTAGAGCTTAGATCAAACTAACAAAATAACTAACTAACGCTAAGATTACCTAAATTCAAATACAATTTCTAATCTAGAAAGCTAATTTAAAATTATGGAAGAGGCAAGGGGCACAAACGGACAACAGGAGACCGCGTCGCGTTAAGACCCAACCGTGGTCTTAACGCGAGCTATCCTAATTACTCCGTCGGAACCGGGAAAGACCTCTTCGACAATTCCTAACGGCCAGTGGAGAGGCGGCGTATTCTCTTTGGTGAGCACAACTACAGTTCCTACAGCTAAAGGCTCAGTATTCCATCCTCCATCGTTTCCAAAACGATTGCACTAACCGGTCTAATAATTTGTGGCGTGCGGAAATGCTAAGTCTGTTCTCATCCATATCTGCGGCGGGCAAATACTTTAAAGGCGTTAAATTCAAAAAATGTGCTGGAGTTAGAGCCAGCGGTTCCGAGAGGTCACTAGACAAAGTACGACAAAGTGGGAGGCTATTCATTACGCATTCAATTTGAGCGAGCACCGTACTTAGCTCTTCGAAGGACAAAATTTGATCTCCTATTACTCGGTATAAGTGACTCTTTAGACTCTTAATATTAGTCTCCCAATTGCCTCCAAAATGACTCGCGGCTGGGACGTTCAGAGACCACTCAATGCGGTTCTCGGCTAGAATGTGAGCGAACTCCGAATTATAATACTTGCTAGCTAAGAGCTCATGTAGTTCCGATAGAATACGTTTTGCACCGACGTAGTTCGTACCGTTATCCGAATATAATTTACTTAGAGGGCCACGGCGGGATAGAAATCTTTTAAATGCACCCATAAAGCCTGCTGTGCTTAGATCACCAACGAGTTCTATATGCACCGCTCGAGTAGTTAGACATACGAAAATGCAGACGTAAGCCTTTGTGGATCTTATACCACGCCCGCGAGTGAGCGTGACCTTAAACGGACCAGCGAAATCAGACCCGGTGTGCGTAAAGGGCTTTACCGATTGTATTACTCTACAAGATCTAAGTTCCGCCATTTCCGGAAATGACGGCTTGGGGCGTGCCCGAAAGCAAGCTATACATCTGTGCACCCGATTGCGTATTAAACTACGTGCAGAAAGAATCCAATAATTCTGACGCAAAATCGACATCAACAAGTCGGGGCCAGCGTGCGAGTTCAATTTATGATGGTAATCCACTAATAAGTTCATGATATGGTCTTTACGCGGTAAAACTATAGGGTGCCGTTGGTCGAAACTCAACTGCGAGTTGGACAAGCGTCCACCTACCCTTACAATCCCATCCTGTAAAAATGGCTTAAGGCGTTGAAAGGCGCGACTACAAGCTCTATTCGATTGTAATATTGTAATTTCTTCAGAGAAGTGCGCATGTTGAAGTTCACGTAATACTAGCGACTCGGCATAGTTGTAATCGGACGCTAAGACATACGAACGTCGCGGTAAAAGCTTCGCGAATCGACAAACGTAAATTACGCTACGCAATAATTTCGACCAAGAGGACAAGCGGTTCGCCAAAGCAATGATTGGAGAAACCTCGCTCGAAACGTTCGCCACTAGAGCGTGTCTCTTCTCTTCCGGCGCTTGTGACACTGACGAAGGTTCGAAATCGGTTATCGGCCATTGTGAGGGATCCAAATGAACCCAAGAAGGTCCATGGAACCAAAGCGGGTGGTCCATTATTTGCATCGGGGTGAGTCCACGGGATAGACAATCGGCAGGGTTTTCCGTACCGGACACGTGATAAAAGTTCCGCGTTTCTAACTCGTCTTGGATCTTGGCCACTCGGTTCGCGACAAACGTATCCCAACGGTGGGGTGAAGAATGAACCCAGCATAAGGCGA